ATATTTATTACGAATTCTTTTTTATCACATGTAATCACAACGCTACAGCTTTCTTAAACTGAGCAAGGACTTTATAGACACCTTTTTATCTGTGCGCTATTTTAACATATTTTGTATCTAAAGCACAATTAACATATTTTGTACTAAAACTAAAATTTCAGAAGAAGAAAATGAACTAGAAACATCAAGCTTTCTCATATTTCTTTCGAATTCTTTTTGATCACATGCACTCTCACAAAGTTGCAATTTTTTCAAATTGCGCAAGAACTTCATAGACACCATTTTATCTGTGCGCTACTTTAATATATCTTGTAACTTCTTCCTTAGAATACCAGTATTTTCTCAGGAAATAATATTTAAGAAATAGAAAGCACATATATTTCGAAAAAGAAAACTGTGTAAAAGCCCAACACCATCCAAATACAGAAGTGAAGCCTACCCTTTCCCTTCTTTAATGATTTCGTTCTTTTCCCCCTTCTTCAGCAACAAATTAAGTCAACTGGAAGGAATGAAAAGGCCTCCCAAAAAGGCCACGTTATGGTATTTTTCTTTTTGGAGCCTGCATAATATTTGAAAATAAAGTCTCTTGATTGAGTGCCATTTCTCCGAAGAGATTCGTTTGTGACTGTGATAGATCACCTTTTATGAAGAAGGCGAAATGCGAAAACAAATCGATGATTCACAAGTGCGGAAGTTGCATTGTTACTCTTCTTTTTCTCTTTGTTCCTTTTTTCTTTTCTCTCATATATCCGCTTTGTCCTTCCTTTTTATTATGTTTTATTTACTATTGGATAGAAATTTCAACGCGCATACCACCCTTTGGGGCTGTTGTCGCGAACTAGAGAAATTTCCCTTACTTTGTGATGCTATAACGAGTTTTCATCTTCCGGAGGAACAAAATACCGAAAGATGCGGCTGTGATTTGTTACTTTTTTCCTCTTCTTTAACAATGAACTCTTATTTCGGGAGGAATAAAAAGAAGCAGGGAAAAAAACGCACTCGTTCTCGTCAACTATTTGCATTGTCAATAACAAAAAGTAAAAATAGCAGGCAGAAGTGTATGAAAAGATATTATTTATTCTAGGCACACTTTACCGTGGGGTGTATTGTATTTTATAGGACCGTTATACTTCTTTAAAGTTTTAGGTTACTTCATGCTTAGCACAACAGTGTCATTCGGCTGAGAAAATGAAAGCCTTGGTATTTTTTACGAGGTAGATTTTCACTCTTTACCTCTCGTAGAAAGTATGATTAATCTAAAAATGGAAGAATATGTCTTTTTTGGATGGACTATGTTCCACGGCATGCTAAATTTACTAACTAGATGATTTACCTAATAACCTATAAAATTTCAGATTAAGTTATCCGACTGTGTTCGGAGACATTTTTTTGAAAAATAACTTATATATATATTTTTAATGCTATTTTTCAACTGAATATGTTTTAAAACTATGAAAATATTGTAAAATTAAGCTTTCAAAATAATATTTTTTTTAAAAAACTGAGAAATTTGAAGAAAATGACTAAAATATTTACCTTACGCTAACAGCCATAGACAAAATCATATTCTAAATATACATAAATCCTTGTAGGAGTACAATTTTATGACAGTTATCTGTGTTATCCTCTAAAATATTTCTTGTACTTCAAAATAGTTTTGAGATACAACTGAACATAGTTGCTAAACTGGTAATTTTTCATAAAAAATGCTTTTTGTTTATATTTAAACGCTTAAAAATATTACTTGATTTTAAAATTGACCTCAGATTTTAGAGGAAAACATCAAGCATATTACAGAAAACAAGCTCAGAAAATTTCATATCAATTCTTAAATAACGTTTTGAGAAATCATTGTTACGGTCGACAGTTTTCCTGAAAAATACCATTTCTCAGAAAACGCATTTAAAGTTTTCATGCAACTTAAAATAATGCTTACAATTCGGTAATAAAAAAGGTGTAACTCCATTTGTAATTCACGTAGGGTAAAAAGTGAGACAGCCTTAGAAAGCTTATTAAACAGGCTACAAAATTTAGGAATAAAAAATTGTTTTGATAATTTCATCAAAAACGACGATTTTAAACTAGTCGGATACCTTAAAAGCAGCCTTTGGAAGAGTACGAATTTTTGTACGGAAAATGCAAATCATAAGAAATACACAATGATATTTATAAGGGGTGTATTTTTATTGCGGTTGTGTTATTTGTTGAAATTCATATTAACGCAAATAAAAGTTGACCTTTAATTTGAATTTGGTGACATATTTATAAAATTCTTGTTTAATAGAATACGCTTATGTAAAATAATGTATTTTAATTAAGAAATAAAATGGCAAACTTAGAGAGATGAAGTAACAGCTAACCTAAGTATACATTATAGCTGAGGGATGAAAATATTTATATATGAATAAAAGACAGATATAAATAAAACTTTGAAGTATAAGTAATTTGAAACAGAAATTTTTGTAGTTCAAGAGTTTGATCACATGTTCACACATATATGTAACGAATTTATGTTGGGTTTTGCATGTAATATTAGAGTTTTCTGTTATTCTTGCACTATAGTATAGTCACGTATATTGAGTTACATGGAAAACTGTAAATTTGAAAAACACAGAAATAAAATTTAATTTATGTATAGTTTGATATGAAAGGCAAAATTCCTCACTAGTGTAAAAGGAGTATTTTTTATCTGGACGCTAATTTACGAAATATAGAGTCGAGAAGAGCTTAGGTACCTTTCAATTTTAAAATTATTCAGACGCAGTACAAAATATTATATTTCCGGTAATTAGTAAACTTGTATAACAATTGCTCATCTAATTAGTTCCTAATACATTGGACATTTTATAGAAAATTCTATTACGGTTACTGTACGTATTGAGATTTCTTGATAATATTTTTTTCAGCTAAAATCTAAGAGTGGATTAAATTTTCATTTCGAAATAGAGATCACATGAAGCTTTTGTCTTAAGATACAGTGGGATATAAAATGTATGACGTTGCAAAAATTTAGGCAGAATATATTGTTACAAAAATGTGTTGTTGCTTTTTTGTCTTTCTAGTCTTATAGTTCGGAAATGAGTTTTACAGGGGTACGTACAGAATGCCGTAGATGGTCCAGTCCTTAACCCCTGACCTAGGACACAAATTTGGCGATTTCGGTGACAAATCGAAAGTTCCAGAAAATATGATAATTTTCTCGATATCTCTATTAGGAGAAGAGATAGGCAGAATGTACTAGATAATTCCATGTGATGTCACGACCAGTCAAACAAGGGTATATAAAAGGAGGCAACCGAAACGAGGGAATGGCTTTGGAGTTTCATCTGCAGTGCGAGCTGGAAAGCCGGTGAGCTGAGCGCTATTGAAAGTGTTGTTACTGTCAGTATTAGTGATTTGCTGACTGTTTGTGTTTCTAAATCCGAAAGTGCTGTTATTGTTATTACTAGTGAGTTGTTATCTGTTTGCGTTGCTAATCTGTATAAAAGATATTGTACCTGTTAACTGTGCTTCGTGTTCTCCTGAGTATTTGTGAATAAAGCGTCATTCTCCATTATCCTGCCTGTCGGAATGTTCCACCATACACACACAGGACAATTTTTATAACAATATTTAACATTAAATTTTTCACAAATGGATGCGTCTGCGTATACTTAGCTGAACTGTATCAGTATATCAGTCGTTTCTTAGGAAATCTGACCACTTTCAAATTAAGGTAATGAAAATATCAGCAATAAAAGTTGAAATAGGAAATTAGAAATTTACGCTAAATCAAGATCTTCAGTTCCGTCATATTGAAATAATGTAAATTGCAAAACTAAACTGGAAACAAAATAGTACACGTTTAGCCATATTAAAGTACTCTTTCTTTAACAAGTTTAATAAAAACGTGCATAAAAGGAAAAACTGGTCCTTTTAAATTCCACCTTTGAAGATTTCTATTGTGTAACTACAGAAAACATAGACGGTGGAGTATTGATATGTCTTTTTATTAAAATATTTCTAATGATCTATGTATTTTGACATAAATATGCCGCATTCATTCAGAACGTCGTTGTGTGAAAGTTTTCTTTCGCTCAATTCCAAGCAAACTGTTTTCTGAATTCAAAGTCTGTTTTAAAGTTGAATCAGCTAAAAAAAATATGGTGAATATATGCCTAGTCATTCAGCAGCTCACCTTCACATACCTGTTAAAATTCAACAAATATGCCTCGCATTTTTATATTTCTTTAAAAGAGAATTCTAAGACTGTGTAAGGTACATAAAAAATATTTTCCACTTTTGTACATTTTAAGAAGAGCGTTAGTTTAATTTTTAAATTGAAAATTTTATATTTTTCCTTTGACACTTCACTTAAAACTTACTTATTTGATTATTGCATGTTTATATTTCATCATGTCTTTCATTTATTAAATCGAGAAATTTCTAATTGAAAACAAACAAAAATCATATTTTTATAACGATAAACACAACCCCCAAAACTTATATTTCCGCCTTTTTCCTTAAATATAACTTTAAACAAAATTCTTTAGAAAACATGCATAATATACTTAATAAAATTGGTATAGATATACTGTAAAAGGGTGCTAGCATAGAGATATATTTTAATCATATTCTTCATCAAGCCAACGTAAAATATACATTTATTTAGTAAAAACTTGCTTTGTGTAACTTAACACTAAACACCACACCACACCGCTGCCTCTAGAGCTTATGTAACTCCTATCCGGCTTGGTATAGATGTAGGTGGAGTTTACTGAATCGCAAGAAAAAGAAAAAAATACAGAATACAGATGAATGGGATAAGTAAAATTACACATTGATACATTGATGATAACACTTAAAATTGACCACAAAAATAAAGGAAAATACGCAACTTCTTGATTACACAAATATTGAACGATGAACATCATGAAAAAGTTTACATCATTTGCGCAATCTTCTGAATACTGTAGTTAAGGTCGTTAAGTGTCGAATTCCAGGAATAGAAAAATCATTGCTTTTCACACCGGGAATAGAACCCGGGCCTCCTAAGTGAGAGCCATGTATCCTAACCTCTAGACATAGTAAAACGAACATCCATTGAGTTCTGTTTTGAGCAGACCTCATTAGTTTCAACCCAGATCAGAGAAGTAGAAAGTTACCGGCGTCAGCATCATCCTCTCCAAATTTCCACACCATACCAATAATACTAATCTATAAAGACTTTAGCAAGTACCAGGCCTTCATAAAAGACCCATGTACTTCGAACCAATGACCTTCGGGTTCAAACACCGAGACTCTACCACTAGGTCACCACAGCCTCAAGTTAAAGCCTTCAGCTGAATAGGTCTTAGCTGCGTAGGAATTTTCATGTTTTGCAAATACAAATGAACAAAAAATAATACACGTTTAATCTGATGCTGTTGTCTGGGATTAACTTATATTTTTGTAACGGCAGAGATATTGAAAAATTCTTCATTGAGTGAATTTTTTCCATTCATTTGCGCATTTAAATACATACCAAATAATGCAACTCATATATAAAGTATTTTCAACGTGAATTTTCATACATCGAGACATTGTATTTGTTATGTCTTCGTAAGACAGGATAACTAAGATTCATTGTTTCTTATAAAGATACATAATACACAAGCATTTATTTTATATTGAATATTATGTATCTTAACTTTTAGACAAAAAGACCTGAAAATACGACTTCATTTAAAATTCCGTCCACTCGAAAATCATGGTTGAGGTTCTGAGGAAGATTATTCACGAAATCAAAACATATTCTCATTCATTTCTTAAAGAAGTTTTTCCATGGAAACGGCGTATTATGCAAATGAAATTCAAGAATAAGTAAATTGCCAGAAGGGCGAAAGTGCGTAGTTGTAATTGAGTTTTTCATGTCTTTACCACTATGTCAACGGATCGATTGGAATAATAAACGAATAGGGACGGGCATAAAATACTAGAGGTTAAGATCCATTATAACGAGCACATCCAGGGACTGAAACTCTTCGTTTTCAAAATGCCAGGGGGTTCTAAAGACTTTGCAAACATTCTGTCGACAACATTCTAATCATTGTAAGCAAATAAGCTATTCGCCAATGTTTGGCTTCGACAGTATATTCGGGCATTGTTGACCTAAGTATGGAGCTCTAATGATGAGACCGCATATTACTGGAGAGGATTAACACCAAAAAGTGCCAGATAGGCACGAATATTTAACGGTCAACGTTCGGAATTCTCGAGGAGAGTCTCTCCACTCTGCAGTTACCGGCGAGATTTCCCACTCCCATTTGCACTTATATTATTCTTTTGAGCTAATATTTGCACATCATAGCGAAGCAATAATTAGCTGTCTTTCAAAATGGAGGCATTATAGCAACCGCAGACGAAGAAAGCCCACAGGAGTTCGGAAATTTTATGCTACCGCTTCGCGCTTTAATATACGCGCATAAAGCAACGCCGTCTTAAGATGGATTCGGTTGAATTTCAAATGATGACTCTTTGAGAATATGCTATTGGATATCAAGTTAGGAGAACGCAGTTAAATTGTGTGTTCCTATCATCAATACTCGAGTAGAGCCTGGCAAATAGAAACTATTGACGAACTTAACCGCTTATGAAATTTAAATACATTCACCGCCTCCAAGATCTCTGAAGATTTATTCTATTCTCTGTGAATAAACGGAGAGAACAATTTAAATGCCTAATTAAAGTGCACATATTCATGAAGCTAAACGGACTCCAGAAAGAGGCGAGTGGGTAGAAAAAGTCAAATGCAATATTTACTCTTCTGTGAATAAATGGTATTCAAATTAATGGTACCTCCGTATAAACTGAGCATGATTTCTTAAGGAACAAAAATTTAACAAATTCTAGAAATTTAATTTATGGATATGCATGTAAACATTCTTCAGTGACATGAAATATTGTTTTTTTTTGTTTTACACTAAGGACTTGTTTTTAAGAAGTTAATTGTTTTAACTAACTTTTGGATTATATTACAAAGCTACTTCTGGATTGCATTAAACCTAATGTAAACAAATTTAATAATTTGGAATGTGAATGCAACGTTTCTTCATATAGCTTATAGTACTGCCAAAGATTTTCTCACATTACGAATTTATTTATGTCATTTAAAGTCTTAAGTGACTTTTATACATTTTTTAAACTTAAATTGTTTCATGTTTGCAAAGATTGAATTTTGTAATCAATATTTCGCTCACGTCCTTATGTACTAGTGTTTCGGAATTTTGTAATCTCGTGTGTACTTGAAAATATACGGTTTTAATATTTTCAGAACTTAATTATCAATTAATAAATTAAATTGTTTAAATTTTTTCCCGTAGGTATAGTACCATCTGAGAGTGCATTTGAGAAAAATTGATTTCGAAAATCCAATATTATGAATTTATATTAATGAACTACAAATTAAAGACTAAAGAGTAGAAATTAAATAGGTTTAAAATAAATTCTATTTTTTACTGCACAAGTAAAAATGAGTTTTTAAAAATTGTTTTTCCAAGTTCATTAATTCGCAGCAACTTCTAGAGCATCAAACCCATTAACAGATACCTAAACATGTATAAATGAGATATGAATAAATATAACTGTACCCCATAATTGTAAATATTGTTAAAATCTGATATGAAACTCGTCTCAAAATGTATTCATTCCCATATATGATTTTTATTCTTGTTTATTAATATAACGAAATACGTTTGGGAATAATTTTTAAATAAAAAATATTTTAATTTTTTTTTCATCCTTAGAAAAAGTTTGCAAGCTAAAAAAAAATTTGCAAGCTAAAATACGAGAACAGTGTATTTACAATTTTACTACTGTAGCAAGAGATTTTTTATTTTTTTGCTTAAATTATTAATGAAAACATTTTTCTTAATTGCTTTCAACTGCTTCAGTTTAGTTTCTAAATCTTAGTATTCTAGCACGACATTATTAAGCTATGCATTTTTTTATTTCGTGCCTTTATTTTTAATTAAAGGTATTTTTAATGCTTTCTGCTACTTGACTGAAGTTTCCAAGTACAAGTAAAGCTAACTGTCTAAGAAACATGAAGCTTTAGATTAAACTAGCGCGGCCAGCACCCACTTTGCTCAACACTGCCCCTGCCACCTCGCTGCTTCGAGGCTCTCAGCCACTACTTTTTTCAGTTTTAAATACTGCATGAAGATCAGTGGAACAGACCTTAAAACCAAAGTAGATTTCATATTTTTTGTAGAGAACAGATTCCTTTAAAATTGTAAAATCTGGCAATAAACCTCATCTAGTTGTAATGTTTTGTGTAACTTTATCACGAATTTCGGCATGAAAGTCTTCAGATCCATACATACAGAATGATATCGCCCTAAATAAACGGTTTCCACCACTTACAATAGGTATTTTACAATATTTTTGACACGTCATTGGGATGGAACTGTTGGGATTTATATATTTAAAATTATATGGTAAAACCTTCAGACAGTTCGCCAACCCCAACCACCAGACGGATTTCGACAATTTGTATTTCATATGGAAGTTTATGGCGTCTACAGATGTCATCAAGGGTCGTCTGCCCCCCACCACGTCCCATTTCCAAACGAAATCGTAAAAACATTTCTCCACCATACTTTCCCAATATGTTTTTTGAATTTACTTCCATATGAAAGAAAAATTATCGAAATCCGTCGAGTGGTTGGGGCTGGTGAACTGTCTGAAGATTTTACCATATTATTTTCAATATATAGATGATTAATATTGGTTGAATGAATAATTTACTAGATGAAGATACTATTTTGAATCTATCTGAGAGTTAGAGATCTCAGAGCTTTGAACCACGATCAGATGACCCAGTCTATACATCAACATGTTTACGATTTGCGCCTTAATAAAATTATATCTGTGAATGAGGGTTTCGAATACTTGATCCTGAAGTGGAGTCTTTGTATCAAGCCACTGCTAATATAATTGATTTAAGGAATAGCAAAATATAAATGCTATGAAGGTTTTTTAAAATTATTTTTTTCAGCGCAACTATTAATGCTAATTTTTGTTAAGAATATATAAATAAAAATTCAGTTCATTTTATTTTTTTTTCTCTTCAGCAACTATTTATGGGTTTCGAATCATTTATCGAGAAATAAGCTACTAATTTTTTAAGAGTAAAATATACTTAAAATACTAAACATAAAACAAAAAATTCAAAATTTACCTATTAACCTAAGTAATTACGGTAATATGAGAAAACTATCTTAGATTGTGAATTATATATTGGTTTGAATGTATACTCTATCATAATTATGATATCAAGTAAATCTTTATGAAACAATAAAAATTTATTCAATTGTGAACTTTAAATTACTTTTTGGCCATCCAATTGAAAATCCATATAAAAAACAGTTTAACTCTATTTCGTTCCGTTTCCAGGAAGCAGGAAAAATTCAAGACAGAAAAAAAAAATTCAACTGCTAAAGCTTGAATGTAATCGATTCTCGAGCTGTATCAACCTTTTTCAAGAAGTTCTTACTAAAATCTATACAATGTTTAGAAAAATAAAATGAGTTTCCTGAATTTTCAGCTTAAGTAAAAATCGGAATATTTTCTTGAACGAGGCAAAAAAAGTCCGACCAGGGAAAAATAAGGGTTAGAAAGTAAAGGAAAACTCTTCATGTCTTGTTGTTTATTTATAAGATGACAAATCTTAGGAAATATTATCCTGAAGTTTCTCCATGAAGCATCTCCCATTTTCCTGGCATTTGTTCCCGTCTTATTTTCACTATGTATTTAAATAAGAGATATCAAAGAAGCGCTTCGTACAACAAAGCTATTTCGTTCATGTTGCTGAATTTTTGAAACAATCTCTAACGCTATTTCTTCAAACGGAGGTATAACTCGTACTTTCCTTCCTCTAAGTTTTTTTTTTTCTTTCGAAGCTCGAATATCTAATGTTTTCTTTTCCTCGTTCGACTCAGACAACCGTTTCACTCAAATGTTCTTCAGAAGAAGAAACGTAGAACAATAGTTCGATACGTGGATCAATCCTTATATTTACCATCTGAAGATAAGAAAGGTTTGATATACAATA